TATTCCGTTCCTTCTTCGAATCCGATCCTTTTGCTGATGATAACGATGATATCGGAATCACTTCATCGACAACAAACATGTCTTTTGCGGTCGGTTGCTCCCCGTAGACCTTTTTGATTCCCTCCGATGTTGGGAACTTCAAAACCTAGTGGAAGGTCGAGGGTACAACCCTCATATTATGTATCTATATTCTTCCGAACAGGGCGATGTATCTCATATCGCCTTCGATCATGTGGAACTTTGTTTCTTGGATGGTCCCAGCCACGTTAACTAGCATGATTATTTCTCCCTTAGTAGTTTCACATGCCATATTGAATCTGTTTAGTACCTAGGTTGCGGGCACGACCTGGTCCTGTAGACCGAGTTGCTCTACGACCCTCAATCGAATGATGTTGGCCGAACTACCTGGATCAATTAACACACGTTTAACTTGAGTTTTATTTATAAGTACAAATATTACCAGTGCATCGTTATGTGGTTGCATGATTCATTCTGTGTCTTCGTTATTAAAGGGCAAGGTTCCTTCAGGGGAGTAATCCTAAGTCCGAGATCACTTTTCTCTTACAATCGACATCTTAGTGCGTTTAAGCACTGGTCCCTGGGGGTATCGATCCCACCAATGATCATGTGGATGATGTGTTTTGGCTCTTCTTGTTCGTTTTGTCTACTGAAATTCCTGTTTTTGAAATGGTTTTTGGCCCTGTCACTTAACAATTCTCGAAGGTTCCCTTTATTGAATAACCGGGCTACCTCCTCTCTCAATTGCCTGCAATCTTCCGTTATGTGGCCATGAGTGCCATGATATTCACATATTTGATTAGAATTCCTCTGGGGCAGGATCGGTCTGCAGAGGTCGAGGCCATTTAGTATCTTTGATGCATCCTATAGCCGACACAATGGCGGATGCATCAATGCTGAAGTTATACTCTGATAACTTTGGTGCTTACTTAGGTCCGGTATGCTTGTCGACCCCATTTATGTTCATCATCCCCCGAGACCCTTGGCCTCGATCACTTCTCCTTTCGCCTCGTACGAAGTTGCGTGAAGGTTCGCTACCCCTACGATCTCCGTTATATGGCCGATATCGATCCTTATTTGACCTTGGTTCTCGGTCGATGTCCCTTTTAATAACGGACCTAGACCCCAACTGGTCGTCTTTAAATCTGATATTCAATTGATATCGATTGTGTACATTGGCCCAAGTAATAGCCGAGTACTCGATCAAATTCTGCTTCAACTGTCGTGAAGCCATCGAGCTCCGCTCGTTCGGTCCTTGAGTGACAGCTTGTACAACCCAATTGTCAGTGACCGATGGTAGATCCATTCGTTCCGTTTGGAAACGAGATACGAACTCTCTCAACATTTCGTTGTCCTTCTGTCTTACCTTGAAAAGGCCCGACTTCCTTGTCTCGACCTTTATGGCTCTGGCGTGTGCTTTTACGAAAGAATCTGCAAGCATAGCAAAAGAATCGATAGAGTTAGACGGAAAATTATGATACCATATCATTGTTCCCTTTGACAGGGTTTCACCGAATTTTTTCAATAATACAGATCCGATCGCATCGTCCTCTAGATTGTTCCATTTAATGGAATATGTGTAAGAGGTGACATGTTCGTTGGAGTCGGTCGTTCCATTATACTTAGGAATTTCGGGCATGCGAAACTTCTTTGGGATTGGTTTAGGAGCCGCGCTCGGGGGAAAAGGCTTTTGTACAATTTTTTTAGAATCTAAGCCCTTCAATATCGGAGGTGCCCCCGGGATCTTATCAACCCTGGAGTTATACGTTTCCATTTTTTTGTCGTTTGTTTCGATCCTCCTTTCTCCTGACTCTATTTGTTTTGTCAGTTCTTCGAACATCTTAACGATCTCGGGATTAGTCCCCGATTCTTGCTCATTTGACCTTACTATGGCTAACCCCGTTTTGTGAATGACTTCTTGGGGTGGACTGGGCCCGAGTCTGGTCGGTGCCTGGGTTTGTCTATGTAATTGGGCTATTGCTACTTGTTGAGCTTGCAACATTTCGAAAATCATACCCAAGCTGATTTTGTTCTCCTCGTTTTGGGTATTTCGAGCTGCACACCGAGTTCCACCATGAATGTTATTTTCAGGGTAGGAACGTTGGTTCGCCTCAATGGCCACATGTGAATTAACGTCTATTGGCTCTTCGACCCGAGCTCCAACGGTATTGACGAGTGTCCTTCCACCCCCCGGGGATTAAGTTATTGTTCTCATCTTGAAGGCCAACTTCGTTGTCGATAGGTTGGGCCATTAGTTGAGAATTCGTCATTTTCAACCTGAAATCAAAGATACTTCCAAGAGCAAGCGTAAAATGGTGTGTTTTGTAGAGATTCGTACCAAATAATCACTGTTATCCTTAGCCCCACGGTGGGCGCCATACTATTTACCTAAAAACGGATATAATTGAATTTATACATAGTTCTAAGAATACGTGGTATAATTTGACACAAATTGTAAAGGTAAGTAGAAATACGTCGAATATTGATTATAAAGAATGAAATACGAACCTAATCGAATGGAGAATGATTTATAAACAAGCAAGATGAATCAATGCATAAAGCTCACAAAAGGATAATCTCTGAGAATATTAGTAATCTCTAAATATGAGAATGTATGAATGCCTTAATCTTCTCTCCCCTCCAGAAATAGTAGCCATCCCTCTTATAGTTGAGGGATCCTACTTTAAATATAATTATAAATACATAGTGGGGATCCCATGATAGATTAGTTTTTCCATATTTTCCGCTGATATTCTCTCCCTTAATGCGGCCGTAACAGCTTTTGTCTCTTGACTCGATCTTGATCGAATTTGGTATTGGTCGATTTCCAGATTTAGAGCTCGATATTAACACGAGGCTTGGTATCGACTCGAGCTCGATATTGGTCGGTCTCTGGCTCTTAAGCTCGATGACACCGCTTCACATCATAGTTCGATTTGGACTCGAGCTCGGTAATGACTTCGAGTTCGGTATTCGATCGGTCCCAGAAATTTGAGCTTGGTACCCTGGCTTCAGATTTTATCTCGATATTATGAAGATGACATTCGGTCAATTATATTCAAATCTTGACTAATCATACAAATGTCGAAATCGATTTTGATCGTATACACTTTTAAATAATAAAAAAATTAGGGTGATTATTATCCACTTACAACTAAAAACTACAAGAAAAAAACTGAAAATGGATAATTTCTCAGTCTTTTGGTTTAAGCATCTTTGACAGGAGACACGTTAAAAACAAAGAACGTGGGTGGCTTTTCGGGATAACTACCTTTAAATAATTCATGTCCAAATAAATAATTCATTTGTGTATTTGATACGTACCTGCTTTGACTAATTGGTTAATGTGAATCTATGACTAATTGATGATCGTCTAGTTTAACTCGATTCTTACAATTTTGACATGAAATTGAGATATTCAAACATATATGGGACTATTGCTAATGTAACACAGAAATTTTGGTGCATCAGACGATAACATTGTTTTGGTGAGAAATCTAGAGACTTGTAGCAATTTACATGTAGCTATTTTGCTCTTCAAATTGGATTACCACCTTGTCTAAGTCTAAGGGGAGATAGGATGCACTCAATGGACCGGGTCATGTATTTTGAACCAATAAGGCCCAAATACTTATAATTCCCTTTGAATAATTCCAAAGACAAATTTTGAGTTTGAAATGCAAACCCAAGTTGCAGTTGATTAGAGCTCTTATTTTGCATATAATATTTCAATGACAATTGAAAGCGTTTAATTCGAAATCTTTATAATGTGTTTCTCTGTACATCATTTTGCATGTCCTTTGGCCTTTATGGATATTTTTTATTTTGATAAACGTTGATTTTATTCGGGGTAATTAATATAGTAATAGATTTGAATCTCCCACATCTTTTGCCCAAACAAGTCTTCTGTAGTCAGTGGAAGTCCAGTTGTCTTTGTTTGATCGTTTCGAGCTAGATTAGTAGTAGTACTACGAAAATAAGGCTGATTGGTCCCATCAATTGGGGGTTGGGGCCGGGAACGACTATTTCTGTTTTTAAATCATGCAAATCAAGTTTACAAGATTATGAGTTGTGACATGAACAGAGAGAGGATCATTATATTGTTGAGGGAACGTCATTACTCGTTACAAAATTTCCTTTCCACATGACTCCAGTAACCCTATTGATGAAGACTTCTCAATAGATGATCTATTTCATCTACTGCAGGGTGGATAATTTGAATTTATTTGTGCCATTTGACTATTATCTTCAACTACAAGACTCATGGGCGTATGTAGTATTTTATTTGACACCGAGTATAAATAATTTATGTGTAAAAATTACTAAAATTATAAAAATAGTAGATATGAACCCATGATTTCAAAAATATAAAAAGTTTAATGCTAAAAGCATTAAAAGTTGAACTGATAAGGGTTTAAATACTAGATCCGCATCTCACGAGACTTTAGGGGAACATTCTTTGCCCACCATATGCATAATTGCATACAGATATGGAAGATTAATTAATTATATTGGTCCCTAGTTAATAGGGGTGAGCGTCGGTCGGTTCGGTCGGTTATTATGAAAGTACGGTTCGATTTATCAATTTTCGATTTTGTAATATTAATAACCAAATCAAACCAAAGTATTTATGGTTCGAAGCGATTTTTTCAAAGTTCGGTTCGGTTATTTCCGGTTTATTTTTTCGATTTTAAACGGTTATAGGAACAACAAGTATTTACGGTTTGTAGGAACATCAATAAACAAGGCTGAAATTTATTTGTTGTTCGTCCAACCCAGCAAATTGTCATTCTGACTTTTGAGAAAGACAGCCCAGCAAATTGTCATTTAGTTGTTGTTCGTCCAGCCCAGCAACAGAGAAAGACAGTGGCACACGGCAGTCTAACACAAGTTTTGCTGACAATAACACTCTAATTTGAAATTACACTATAAATAAAACCAAGAATAGACTATAGCGAACAAGCACACAGAGAACAGGGAGGCCTTCAGTGCAAACAGAACACCTAAGTAGCAAAATATCGCACAGTTCAGCAGTGGCAAACTAGTCCAAAACAGTTTAACACAATGGCAAATCTAGCAGCTACCAAAGTCCAAAATAAGTCTAGAAATACCATCACCAAACAACAAAATAGTGGCAAACTAGTCACAACCCACATGCCACAAAGTAAGTCTATAAAATGATATTTAAAGTCTTAAATACGAATCACTGGATGAGGCATGAGACACTTCTTAATATGCTTCACTAAGCCAGCCATAATACTTTGGATGACAATTATAAACTCGACCACAATAAAGGTACTTTGCTTTGCGGGCTTCTTCATTTACTTTAACTAGCTCAAAATATTCCCAAATAGGCGATCTAGCTTCAGGACTACGAGGCATAGTTGAACCTACTAAAAAAAAAAGTTCATGAGTTAATAAAATATTTTTAATTATAAATAACAAAAGAATATCATAAAACAAGCAAATCTTTAAACTTACCACTCGTTCAAACTATGCATCAACAATGCTAGTATCTCTTTCAACAATACAAGTTTCTCTTCCGTTGCCATATCTAAATATAATTTGATAAAACGTGTCATTTAAACTTACAAAGTAAACTAATTTTCACTAAAATACTCATATAACGCAAAAATCTTACCAAGTTCAATTTGCTCAAGAAACTCCAAATCTTCTTCAACATTAATAGGAGTACCCTCACATAACGCAATATTCATTTCTCTGAAAGTGAAGCTTTTAATGCCATCCATTTTTATAGAGAGTCTTGAGGATGGAATTAAGATATTAAACCTTATAAGCTTCGTCAGTTTTGCAGAAAAGAGTCGAAAGAAACATATTCGTATAAAGTAAAGGTAAAGCTTATCAAATGAGAGAACTTACATAAACGTTTCCTCGATGATAAGATGCTTTGGTATTTGGCATGTTGTCTTTTGATTAACACAACGATAAGTCGCAGCAGTCGCAGGCTCGCAGCAATCGCACAGGAAGAAGGAAGAACCGAAGAACCCTAAATCTAATTCTTTATTTAGGTTTGGGAAATGAAAAATGGGAATTGGGAAGTGACTAAGTGTATTAGTGATTTAGTCAGTGTAACCTATGGGTTTGGGTATTAGACAGACTATCATTAAGTTTGAGTTTGGATAAATTAAATTGGGCTTCAAAGTTCAAATAGGTATTGGGCTTCAGCCTAAAATGGGTAATAACTAATATCCAAAATTTCTTTTTTTCGGTTAAACTGAAAACCGAAACACCAAAACCATAAACCGCACCGAAAAACCAAAAATTAATAATTTTAAAATCGTGCACCGACCGAAAACCGATTAAACCGAAACTGAAAAATCGAAATTCACGATTCGGTCATTTTTTTCGATTCGGCCGGTATTATGCCCACCCCTACTAGTTAATAATTCATCAAACAGTATGTACGGATATTCAGTGTATTTGCGCATTTGACACGCATTAAAAATCTAAATCTTGTGAAGCATGCATTTCGGCACCCGTCAACTCTATAATTTCACATTTCCATGAGGCTTCTTATTAACGGACAAAAAGTTATAATACCCCTATTCCAGAGGCAGAGAACGGCCCATTCCTCTGCCCTTTCTTCGCCATTGTTCTCTCCCTTTTATGTGCATTTTGATGGCCGCCAAGGGCCGATGATGTTGTTCCCTTTAGCTATGAATGTTTGTTGATTAGGAATTGCATACTGTTGATTTTATGCAATTATCAGAAGGTAATCAAATATTGTATTACTAATGCAAGATGTTATGCTAATATTGTAATGTCTTATATATACAACCAAATGATTCTTACATCCGTAACATGTTTTTTATTTATTTTTATGTTGCCAAATTAGGATTAAAGAGAACTATAGACATTTATATGTTGTTGTAAGTTATGCTGACATGACGTAGACATCATACACATTAATTTAGTGGGCATAAATGTAAATCAAAGAAACTAAAGGAAGTGAGGTAAGCGTAATATCATAATAAACTATAAAAAATATGAGTGGTATGAAGTCAGCCTAGCGTAGATGAAAGTTTCTGAAATTATCTATTTTGATACACTATAAGTTTCTGAAATTATCCCTTTAATAGAGGAGTATTGGTAGAGAAAATATTTGGGTCTCTCAGGTGCCACTAATCGGTGCGTCCTGAATTTTAATTTTTCAGAAAAAAATGTCCTGAATATCCTAGAGTTAAGATTTTTAGTATAAAATTTAAAGACAAAATAAGTAATGTCTGATATCTAAATAGTATCCAAGAGGATAGCTATATGTGCACTTGGCCCAATAGCTCAACCTTATGGACTCCCATTTCAAAAGCCCAAACAAAATCTATCTCCATCGACCCAAATTGAAATCCAAAAACCCTATTAAACCCTTCGTCAGCTACACTTCTTCCTCCTCTGCATCTCTCCGGTGGACTCCTCGCCGTCAGTTTCTCCGGCGTAATCTATTTGTAAGCTCCCCTTGTTCTTTCAAGATTCCTTTATGCCTCTTTCCCTCGCTCTCCGAATTTTATATCTTTCGTGAGACCGGAACCCGACTTTTCAACTATGATTTTTAATGCTATAATAGGAATTATAAGTTGGCTGTAATTCTTTGTGTCATATTACCCAAAAAAAAAAGCGTAACTTCTGATTTCTCGTTATTGTATGTGAATATTTTCTGTTAATCTGCAGACTAATTTGTTTCCTGTATGATAATGGCTTCAACCAAATTGAAAAAACAAAATAAGGCCGTAAAAGATTAAATATGTCATAGAGCACAAATTAAATGGACCTGACACAGTGGTATGGATATAGAGGATTCAAATAGACGAACCAGACAAGTTTGAGATTAAGGAAAAATTGGATGGTAGAAGGATATGTGATAGAGGCTGAAATTTCAAGATTTGAGCTTTATGGTTCGAAATACATATTTAGTAGATTTCTTAACACATTTATGGGTCTGAGCTAAAGCTATTGGTTTCGGCTGAACCCTTGGCTTATATTGTACATCCATCCCTGAGTTCACTCATCTGTTACGTAGTTAGAGGATAATGTACAATGATGTTATATCTGCCCACTTTTTCGGGAAGGGAGTCCTTTAACATCTTCATCTCTCCAACCCCCAAAACCTGTATTCATGAGATATATTGATTGAAACACACCGTGTAATTGAGTTAATGGGAGTGTCTTAAATGCTTTAATAGATAACACATTTATATCTAACTTTACCAATGCTTCTCACAGAGTCAGAGATATAATAGCTGATTATGGCAGATGAGGTGCCACAGCCTCTGAATTATATACCAGAAGTTATTCTAAAGAAGAGGAAAAATAATGAAGAATGGGCAATTAGAAGGAAACTCCAGCTGGAACAGAAAGTCAGAAAGCTCAAATCTGATAGCTTTGTTATAAAGAAGCCCGAGCAGTTTATTCGAGAGTATAGAGATAAGGTATTTTATATCTGAATATATAGTTTAAATGCATATGTTGGTTAATTCTTTGGAATATATGAATTTCTTCACATTATAGTAACTAATATTAAACTACTACAAGTCCTATTCCTTTTGATGGACACTCATTTATATCTTCAAACAGCTCATTGATTAATGTTTCTTAGAAAAGTTGGTAAGTTGCTATCCGTTGCTGGTATCTTCTTCAACTTTTTTTTTTCCAATTGGCTTCAGCATTTGCTGTCTCTTTTCAGTGAGTATATATTTTCTTTGTTTCTCCTTTCACCATTTGGCTCCCTTTTCTGCCATGGTGCTATAGTTGAATGTCATTGGTAAGTTATCTGGATACATGTAGTAGGTATGATATATACTTTGGGTTAACCTATCCATAATTTGGTGGCTGTTGCGAAGATTAATCTCGATTTGCCTCTCTACTGGACTGCAACTCTTCAGCAAGTTAATACGAGTCTTTGCAGGAAAAAACGCGACAGTAACATTGTATGGCCTCCAAAATCAATAAGACACAACTATCTATGGTCCTAGAAAGGAGAATATTGTCCTTGGTTAGTTATTAAATGACGGAAGCAAAACTGAAAACCTTCTTGGAGTACAGAGTAAGATGCTATAAGCAAAACATAACAGTATTTCAAGTGTTTAAATATTGAGGAGCTTGAGTGAAAGAACCTTTTTATGGGCTACAAACAGAACCTTCCAAAAAACTTTTGCCAGATACTGGTAAAAACGAGTAGAACTGTTGTTGCTGTCAGTCAAACATATTTTCAACCAATTTGTTTTTAATGATAATGTTACAATATGTTGAACACAAAATTTGCGTGTGGTGTCTAAATTTTATTTTTCAAAGGACGACAAAGGTACAGTCATAGTTTATATCTAATCAATTTGACTCTGGCTAAACAAAATAGGACATCCAAAATGACACCAACATTATATTGTTGCATTTTCGATCCTAAATCACCTATTGCTTCCTGCAAGTGTATAAGATCAACCTGGTAGATTGCTTTCTGAACTATTAACTTTTAGCTGTTGTATATTGTACATCACTCCTCTGTATATTGTCTAAGATCTTCTTATCTGCTTTGTTTCATTCAGGAGATGGACCTTGTCCAAATGAAACAAAGGGGAAAGAGAAGAATCAAGCAAGGCTTGATCATGCCAGATTCTAAGCTTCTATTCGTCATACGTGTTGGAGGGTAGGTTCTTACTGTTGTTATCGCAATTATACTCTTTTGGCTGGTGTAGCCTGCCTTTGGGTCCTAATATCTCTGATTTACCTCAGAAAAAGTGATATGCATCCGAGAACAAGGAAGCTTTTATACTCTTTAAGGCTGCGAAAAATCTTCAGTGGGGTGTTTGTAAAGGCAAATGCAAGAATAATGGAAATTCTGCAAAAGGTGGAACCTTATGTCACATATGGGTATGTATAGTTATTTACATTCTTATTGTTGCACTAGCATTCACTCAGTTCATCTCTCTACCGGATATCCTTATTTCCAGATCTTATGCTTGTTCGGAGGGTTGACGTTTTAAATATATTTTCCTTACCTTAGTAACATTTACCACTTGATGATCTGCCTGCAGTGACCAAGTATGGACAAATTACTAAGTCAAATCTAATTCCACAAATATCTTCCTCTATCTAGTTCCCGCTTCTACTCAAATTAGAGCAGCCAAAGGAGCCTTGTTTGGATTTTACTGACTAATTATTCAGCTTTCATATAGCTGTTTATACCCTATTTATCATTTTGCTATAGCAGTTTTCTGTATTAAAAGGTCAAAGTTCTATCTTCAGTTTCTCTCTTTGACAGTCAAAGTTCTCCAAAGGGAAAATCAGATTTAATTTTGTCTCTTTGACCTTTGGCATTTCTAATTGAGAAACACCTCATTTGGAGGTTGGTAATTTACTTCTTGCTCATTTCTGATTCAATGTTCATCTTCCTTTCCTGCTTCTCGAAAGCAATGAGACAAACAGGAATTCTATCATGTATTAGGTGACACCAGGAATAACATTCATCCTCCTTTACAGACACATGGAACTATTTTATTCTTCAGTTAATTTCTTATTTGGTGAGTATATTCAACACTGAATAGAGGAATTAGAAGGAGGAAATACTAATCCATGTGCATAACCTTATTAACAGTTGATGTGCTTCTATCTTATCAAAACAACAATCAATGTGCTTCTTCATTTTTTTGCTTTGAAGATACCCCAATCTGAAGAGCGTGAAGGATCTGATTTACAAGAAAGGTACTGGAAAAATTGAGCAGGAAAGGGTGCCTTTAACTAGCAATGACATTGTGGAACAGGTGCCTTTGTTTCCTTTTCTTCTTCTCATAACTACCATAGCAGTTGATCTTGTCACTCTACGTTTTATGGGCATCCCTGCATTGGTATCATGTGGTAACTCAACTACTTATTCTGGCAGAAACTAGGTCAGCATGGCATCATATGCTTAGAAGATGTCGTGAGCGAGATTGCTAATGTTGGTCCACACTTCAAGGAGGTCACTAGCTTTCTATGCCCCTTTGCTCTCACCAAGCCAGAGAAAGCTTTACAGGGGAAGAAGAGGCGATACAAGGATGGCGGCGATTCAGGAAATCGTGAAGATCAC